GTACCGATAAAATAAAATAAATATTTGTTTTCTTGTAATATTTTTAAGCAAACACGTTTATAAAATCCCCCGGCTAAAAAAAATTTCTCGTAACATTCATTTTTGCACCTGAAATTCTAGTACAGGGTTCCATGACATAGACATTAAATTGAAATGGAACCACCTGCATTACTTAGAATGACAAAAAAAACATACATTTGCTCAAAAAACAAAATATATACATCATAGTAGGATAGAATTCATAGAGTTTCTATTCGTAATACAAATTCTTATTTTAATTCGAATTATTATTATTATTCAAATATTTGTTTTATTCAAATTATTTGTTTATTCAAATCATTTGTTTTATTCAGATAATTGTGAATACTCAAATTCATAACGGATAAAACAAATAATTCGAATAGACCTTATTCAAACCATTAACGACGAGATATTATAATAACAATAGTAAATAATACAACAATAATACCGGCAGGCTTAGTACCATCTGAAAAGTTTTTTCATCAACTGGAATTTATTTAAGTTCTAGCTGGCTAAGGTTTTTCTACCAGTCAACATCACTAATCAATCTCGTATTGGAATAAAACTTCTTCATAATTTATATAATACTTGCTACCATTACTATATCAGTCAGTGTGGAAAACGCGATTGTATAAGTTACCACAAACTGAATACTTAATAATTATTATTATTTATTATTTTCATTACACGAAAGAAATATATACCTTAATATAAGGCAATATCACCAAATAAGAGATCTTGTGGATTGAGAGGCATATTTACGAATTTGATTGCATGTTATTATTATCAATAAAAAAAAAAATTTGCTACTTTAAATACAGCTTTACCAAACCTACCTATATTCTCTAAATCAATCCCTTGATAGATCAACATGAAACTTTTTAGACACTTTTAACTCGAAAGCCAAATTTAATTACCGTTCGGTGAGTAAAGGATCTCGTTTAACAATTTTTGACTTGATATTAAGGAGGAATGGTTACGACTTTGTATCTGCTGTGCGAGCAGGTTTAATTTTATTGATGCTTTTCTGGAAGGATAGATTTATCGTAAATTGAGTATTTGGGCATACTTGGTTAATTTGATTAATTATGGAAATAAATGTTTGTTTACTACGTTGAAGAATGAATTGTAGTTCAAATTCACCTTCATTAAGGGTGTAAAATAATGACTACAATAGCATTTATAAATTATGCAATCGACTCTATTGCTTTATCTAATGCTCGTATACGAAAATTATTTCGGATTTCAGATTTTAAAAAACAACTTCTGAAATACAGTAATCAGTAATAATAATAACAAATTTTTCTACAATAAAGATTTCTGGAAAAGAATAAATTCTCCTTTTTAATGAACTCTAAGTAGAGATGTGCTGCGCACAAGGTTTAGATATATTTTTTATAAACATTTCTAAAAAAAAAATTAAATATGCCATTTACTTTCTTATTATTATATGCGCATTTATAATATTTCCCTCTCTATGATATATATACACTATGCGCGAAAAAAAATCACGGTTACTATGAATGGCACATCTATAGGAATAATTTGCTGTCTAGCTTAATATAAGTGAGTGTATATTACCTTTTAAGTATAAAATATATTTGATAAAAAGAATTTCTTGAGTTTTACTTTTATTTCCCAAATTTGCTATCTCCAATTCTCCAATTTTTTGGCCAATTGTCATTCTCCCCATTCTTGAGACTTCATAGCGAGTTTCAGTATCCAATTTTGCTTCTTTAGCTTTGTTACTAGGTTTGGTAAACCATGGATCTCAGCATAATCTTTAAGAAAATTCTTTACAACTGTAGCAACGCTTTTGTCAATCGTCATCTTAGATTTCCATTGTGGCATTCTTTTCGCATTCCTATGAACTCTTATACGAGACCATTGTTTAACATGTGATTGCTGATATTCTCAAAGTAAGTTCTACCAATTCATAGCATATTAAAACACTTATCGGCCCACTATCCATTTTTTTAAGCTGTGCCATCAAAATATGTCATGCACTGATTTAGAAAAAGCTTGAAAGAATTTGCAAATTCACTCTTGGTAATAATTGATGAGCAACGATAATCACAACCTTTCTCTAAAAAACCAATTACCTTTTCATTCATATTCATTAAAATCATTGCTTTTCATATACATACAGTATAGCCATATATATAATTTTTATTCACGTAATTTTTTTAATATCACTAAAATAAGTAATCATCTTGCCAAAAAATCAAAAAATACCACTCTAATTGTAAGTTAGTCTGAATTTAACTTAGCCTTTATGGTTATAAGGCACATGTTGTAAAAATAAACTTCAAAAGTCCCATTTATCGAATATACAATTATTGTAATACTAACAATCTCTTTAATGAATTTTTTCCTAGTTAATATTCTCTCCGCCATAGAAGCCACTATGATATAAAATTTATTGA